AAGAAGAGTGCAGTTGTTCTGGAAACAAGTGCACATTTTCTTGTAGTTCAAGGGATCTATGGAGCTAACTTGTATTGAAGCATCTCGTGTTTGCTCTATCTCTTCTCATCGTTACCTCTGAGATCCTCCTGGTGCTGAAAACCCTGCAGCTCCTCCTTTTCTCTTTGCATTTTCTTCACTCTGCCCTGAAGAATGAAGACCCTGAATCTATATACTCTGCCAAAAAACATTAGCCACAGTGCCACAGTGAGGAACAGCTGCAAAGATAGCTCTTTGGGGAGGAAGGGTAAGAGAGGCATATGAATAGTGTACCTTCTTTAAAGGCACCCAAACGCAAAATGAGAGCAAACAGCAAGCCTCACATTCAGAAGTCAAAGAGATCACTGCTGGCCAGACAAATTGCTTCTAATGCAATGCAGTATCTCTGCTTACTGATAAAAATAAATTTCCTTCTCTATTGAAAATACTGCATTAGCATACCCTAATGGCAGGTGATGCAAAATGATGTCTTCATTGGCTGTACAGATCTGTAGCTACAAATGGACTAAACCCAGAAACTACCGAGTATCAGAGAGCTTGAGGGAAATGTATTAGTTAGGTTTCAATGCTCCCTTGGATAATCATGATCCTAAGGGACGAAATAAACATATATTAGATGAGACCCTGTACTGAGCTTTAATAGCTGCAGAGCCAAGAATGCAACTGATGACAAAATTTAATTCATTATGGGGTTCAGAGCACTGATGTCTTTGCTACCAAGTGTCTAAAGAGCTCTCACACATATCCAAGTAAGCATTTGCTGTAGCTGTAAGGAGATTCAGTGCTCGATTGTGAGAAGATTTGAGTGCCCTCTTTCCAGCTTGATTTCAGAGACAGCGTACGACTGTAGGACACTCAGAAATGTCTCTTCCAACCAAAAAAAAAAAAAATTAATAAGTACAGAATCCCTCTGCTCCCACAAGGCTCATACAATTTCCTTTTATTAGATCTGTTCCCTCTCTGTTAACCTTCCTAAGACTTCAGAAGTTATCTTCTTGTTAAAAATGCATCTCTCTGCAAAAGCTTGCTGTTTCTTTTCTCTATTCTCATGTATTCTTGTACACAGTGTACTGCAGGGAACACTCAGCACCAAAACATTTAAAATCTTTAGGTTAAATGGACGTGGCATGTAGCTAAGAAGCGATAGGATCAGCATATAACAATTGGATCAAGAGCTACATTTTGGGAGTAAGGTCACCTGAAAGCCAAGGCAAATGAGAGCAACCATCATGAATGGACGTTTGCTTGGAGGTGTCAGTGGATAGAATGAGTTGGAGGAAGTATATACCCAGTACTTTATCAGCAGCATTTCTCTTTCAGAAAAAATGGGGAAGAACATAGTTCATTCCCTCGCACAGTGGCCTAAATTACCATCTTCTCATGCAAGAGCTTGTGAGGGGCAGAAGGGTAGGAGAGTATTCATTTAAAATATTTATTATCAACCATTCCTGAAAGAAAATGTACCTATTCCTAACTACTCCCAAACAAGCAAACAGCAAACCACGATGCAGAGAGATTTCTAAAGATAGCATTACAAGGTAAGTGTTAACGGTGGTTTCTTAGAACGTGAAGTTAAAAGCTAAAAGTATGGCTTATCTGAAGTCACACTGGTGGTAGCAGAGTGGCAATGCGGTCCAGAACTCCTAGGTGCAAAAATCTTGTTAGTAGTTGCAAAGCATTGATACATCTACACTAATGATTTTGAAGATCACTGCGTGAAAGCATTATTGAAGAGAAGTAGAGCAAAGCTGATCCATAAATTGCCCAAATATAAATCTGGATTCCTTCAGCATAGTTTATTTTTGCATTGTTCTCTTGTATTGTACTTTCAGTCACCTCATGCTGACACTAAAATACACTTAAAATGTTCTAAAAAATTCTTTGGAGTGTTTTACAGAGAATTGACAATACCATAGTACCAGAGAGAAGCTAAATCTGTAGCAGCGTAGACTTCCCTGGGGTTAAGTAAGTAGAGAATGGTGCTTTACTAACTTGAGCATAGGGCCAATATTGTTTTTAAAGGCTTAGTAGAACAAAATGTTGTGTACTTTTCCTAGCTGTACCAATAGCTTAGTTCACCCAGAGCCTTAACCTTGGAGTAACAAAGGCCATTGCTAATCACTTTATTAATCCATGGAGTAGCAATTTTCCACAAAAGCATCATTCTAAAAAGTGCCTTATGTTCAGCATTTCACTCCATGGCACCAACCACTGTAATGAAATCCATGAGGAGATTTACAGACCTCAGAGTGGGACTCATTAAAAAACAACGTGTTAATCAGAGAGCCAGTAAGTGAGCAAATGGGAAATGCTGAAGCTACAGAATTCCTTCTTTCTCTGGATTGTGAAAGCCTTAGTCAGTGCTTCTTTGAGGATTTACACCTCAGACGCTCTCCCCTGAGAGTCTCAGACTTTTCTTTGGAAACACTGTTACAGAATTACTCAGGACAGAGCTGGATGCAATGTGAAGGCAAGGTGAAATGGAGGTTGTGCAGCTCTGCAGCTGCAACCCTACGGTGAGACCCAGGACCTAGGTGCTGCACTGTGGTGCGCTAATGAAGGAGGCTTCAGCCACCACAAGAGCTAGCCTGTTCTCAGTAGGTCTGGACGTGGACTCAGGTCCCTTCCCTGTCTGATGAGATCCAAATGTTCATCTCTAATCTTCTAGGGAGTTGCTCGACTTGATAAACTGCTGGTTATGATGGTGCCATCTGCTCTTTTCATCATCCTACCGATCCTTATGTATGCCACAAAAGGTAGAATATTTTTGACAGGGAGTACAGAAGTGTCTCAGTCACTACAGAAAGACTAATACTCTGTCGGTAATGGCATACGGAGAAACTGAGTTACTTCAAGAAGATAAAGGCATTGAATCTTTACATCCCACAGCTTCATTTCTTAGATGGTATGATACTCAGCATTTTAAGGCCTGGACTGCCTAGGATTCTAGATATATAGGGGAATCCACTCAATTCCTCCCTAGTGCATAGGAGACAGTCACCCTGAAGTAGATTTTAGTTTAAAAAAAAAAAAAAAGTAAAACAAATTGAAACCAAGCTAAACAGATTTTCACTTGCCCAGGTCACTGGTCCTTTGTAAGAAAGATGGGTCCCTCTTCCATTCATATTGTAAAAAACAGCAAGAGGAGCAGCTGTCAGATTTGTGAGATGAACACTGGCGTACCTTACTGAGTGAACCCTCAGCCATTATGGCTGAGGAATACCCATTGCTGTGGATCTTGAAAGAGCCTGGGTGTGAGGTACATTTCACCTTGAGCTGCTTGTTAGTGTCAGCGCTGGATGTCCCTGAATCTGCCCAGAAGCGGGACTTCAGATGCTTGGGGAACTCCACCAAAGAAATCTCCTTTAGATACCTCAGGCATTAGGTAGCAGTAAAAGGAGGATTTTGATAAGCTATATTTTGAAATAATGTACCTAATCTGCTTTAGACACCCTATACCTGTTTTTGGATCCAGCCCAAAGCTCAGATTCCATTTTTGTTTTAAGAGAGAGTGCACTGTAATTGCATAAGTATGAGATACCCAGCCAGTGTAAGTGAAATAATGTATAAGAAATAGGCAGCTTTTTACCCATCTGAAAAATTCAAAACTGATCACCAATTCTTCTCTACTAAAATAGGAAAAGCTTTTGCAGCTGTGCTAAGTTATGCCTGAGATAGCAATTTTCTGCAAGTGTATTCTGGAAGTGATTACTATCTGAGTGATACTCCCAGCTGAGAGAAAAAATGTTAGTAGAGGAAATTATAACGATGATGACAGTAGAGTCACCTCCAAGCTCAACATGATATGGAGTTAGGGCAGGTCCAAAGGAGATAAGAGCCGTAAAGAATCCGGACGTCTTTAACGCTGTCCTCAACTACTTACAAGTAATAATCATCCTTTAACAAGCCAGCAAGTACTTGGAGTTTTACTGATGTTCTTTTCTCTTGTACCATATTAAATTTTGATGTGTGTGGTTGTTTAACATGACTATCCAGATCAATTACATTGCTGATACGTATTTGAAATATATATGAGAACTGCTTGAGCCTACATTCTGTAAGGCGAAAGTGAGACTTGGTAGGTAGAAAGGAGCTGCAAAAAAGCTGTGGAATCTTGCTCTGTAAGTTAAGTTGTATACTCAGAGGAACGTTCTCTTATGTAAAGCAAAGCTGCCCTGCAGTTCTAATGGGAGACGCATTTTGACCCACTGGGGTATCTTTCTTCTCTGCCTGCTACAAGTAGTCCCAGAGAAGCTACACCTGGCATTTCATGCTGTGCGGTTCTGTGTGACTATTTCCTAAGTGTTTATTAATTTAAATTTCTTTCCTGTATTGTAAAACTGCACAATCTTTCACACTTCCTAGCTATCTGTAGGTAGGCAAATGTTCTAATACTGGAAAACACAGTATGGAAGTGAAGTTACCTGTTCACTAGATAGTAGTGAGTAAGACTTCAAAACTGGCCAAACTATTTTAAGCTATATTATATGTATTAAACTACACAGTAAACACTAAGGAAATCAGTATATAGTTTGTCCATTGACTAGTTGAGAAACATTGACGTTTAGTTCATTGTGGCATTTGTTTGAAATCTCACCATTCAGTAGGACAGTAAGTGGAAAACAACAAATTAGTTTAATTTGTAATAAATAATAAGTAATGTTTATAGTCCTGTGTGTATCTGTGTGTGTGTGTGAAACTCCAGTCTGAGAAGACTATAATATAAAATGCATTTGCAAATGATATTATTTACAGAAAAGAATGAAATTTTCTTGCTCAAAAGAGCAAGCTGACAGATTCTAACAGTCTTTCACATGCCGTGCACGATAAACATTCAGCTTGTCTTTCCAAGAACAATAAAATTTCATGTACTACTGCTTGACATAAGAATTATTTTTACATATCTCCATGCCACTGCCTCTCTTGTAAGTTAATCTCATCTCTCATCAATTTTTCACCAGCTTCACTCTGATGTTGATAAAGGAGATGGTTCCATCAAATACATCTTGTCAGGCGAAGGGGCAAGTTCCATTTTCATTATTGATGAGAACACGGGGGATATTCATGCTACAAAGAGACTGGATCGAGAAGAGCAGGCCTACTACACGCTCCGAGCACAAGCGCTAGATAGGCTGACTAATAAACCTGTGGAACCAGAATCTGAGTTCGTCATTAAGATTCAGGACATCAATGACAATGAGCCAAAATTTCTGGATGGTCCTTACACTGCTGGAGTTCCTGAGATGTCTCCTGTGGGTAAGTGCAAAATATACTTTTGGTGGTGTGGGAAATTTGCTCCTATTGCCTTTTTAAAAAATTCATTATTTTTTACTGTATCACACTAAGCTACTTAATTATCTATGAGCCACCTGCAACAGTTAGATATTTCAAGACTTAACTGGAAATAACATGCTTGATTAAGTATTTAGCCTTCCAAAAATGTTGTGAAACTCAAATAGCTATGCAGGGATTGCGATAAGCATTTTATGGTGTTTTTCTCATTCCAGTGGCCAGAGGCTTTGTTTTAGAATTCTCATTAACAATAATAAGTTTCACACCCATGCTATAGTACTCAGAGGTGATAATATATCATTTTGTTCAGATAAGGTCCTTTCTGAACAAAATCTTCAAATTTCTTCTAGTGTATAAAAATGTTGGCAAGTGTTGCATATACTGGTATCAGTTTACGTGTGTCTTCTCTAATACTCAAATCCAGCTGTCTGGGAACTATGTATATTTAGTAGACATTGTGGTCCAATTTGAGAAAGTTTTAAAATTTCAGTGGAATCAGAATAAATGACTTGCAAACATTTCAGCTCCTCTGTTGGAAAAGCAGTGGTGCTCTTATTCCTGAAACTCGCTCTTTACCTTAAAAGGACAAAATGCTCACTGGCTATTGGGTGCCAGTGTTCCATCGAAAGCTGGGTGGTTTAGTTTAGATGAGAGTTTGGCCCAGATGAATTTTGGTGAATTATAGTTCAACCTGAAGATATAAAGACAAACAAGAAGTTAAAAAAAAAAAAAACAGATCAAGTTCAGCTACTTTAGTGGAAATCTGTGTATTGAAATACTTATGTCAAGTTAAAAAACTCACATGGTGATTGAAATTAGGGGTTTCTTTGACTGATTTTAAACTATATCAAAAAAATGCTACTCTTACAGTAAGACTGCCTAATATACAATTTTCTGTATTTTTTTCAATACCACTCCCTGGTTTTTTTTGGACACCAAACGATACTTCCAAATGACAGAGAGAAAAAAGAAGAATCTCACCTGCCTAAATGCAGTGCAGCAATCACTAGTCAACATTGCTTTTACACTTGAAACTCAGTTTAGGAGCCAAAGAGAGATAAGCACAGCATTGCTAATGAGTTATTTATTTATTTATTTTTACTTAATGTTGAGCACAGATATTATCCCTCATTTGACACTTAACACCTTTTCATTGTCACTCAAACACTGTATTAGTGGTGCAAAAGGCAGTAGTAGCCTTTGAAAAACAGACAGACATTACTGCTGTTGAGTATCAGGCATGAGATGAAGTTGTGATACATTTCTGAGATCTCTTTCTTACTGAACTTTGGAAAAAGAGAGGTAGATAATCTAAGACTTAAGAAACTAAATACTCAGCCCTTCAAATATAAGTTCTGTAAAAGGTTTTTAGACTACGTGGTATCTTTCCAGTTTGGGGGATTTTTTTAATGTTTTACTTTAGGACTGGATTATTTTAGTGAACTGTAGAATGTAGTAATGGTTAAGTTTTTAAAGTGTCTTCCACCTTTATCGTGCCCCCTGAATCACAATAGTTCCACCTTTCCCTCTTGCTTGAGTGACTCCTACCTTATCCCGTACTGACAAATTGATGTTTGGACAAATACTGCAAATATACAAGATTTATCCACACAAGAGTTACCCATGTACCAACTCCGCACCCTTACTTCATTTATTCCAAAAATAGATGTGGGAATAGTGGGAAGCACTTCTTGGGAAGTGTACAATGTACATTGGAGACCGTAGGGACTGTTCTTCACAGTAATCTATTTTTACATATTTCATTGATCCTTCATGACATGAATGATTGAAAGAAATTTTTTCCCATACTGATTTCAGCACCAAATATACATTCAGCTTAGGTGGGATGTTGTGCAAAATTATTCTTAGCTGAGATGTGAGCATTCTCCACGATCTGTACTGACTACAGGCAATTTCCCCACCCTGAGTTTCCTTAAAATGTACATTTTAAATATCTTGGTTTCTATCACACAACTACTGAATGCTGCATTATTATTGAATTAAGGATCACCAGTAAGGGCTTGTGTGGCATTTGTTTTACATAATCATAATGGTTCACAGTTTACTCATATAACACAATTTTTAATTAAACATCAAGAGGATTCATGAAATATTAAGGAGAAACAAAGTATCTCTCTCTTATTTTGTCTAAAATTATATCCACGGCAAGGATTCCTTAACTGGATATTAAACAAAATGAAAGTGATTGCAGGATTATAAACTGAGACTAACTTTCAAAATAGGAGAATTATACCTTTAACCTAAAGGATGATTATGCAAATATAATGATTCTGCATTGTATTTGGCAAATATTTTAGGACATTAGTGAGAGGCTAATTGAAGCCAATCTTTTCTATTATTTCAAATAACTTCTGATCATGTTCAAGTTATATCTGGGTCAAGTCCAATTATATTGATTATCCTGGATGGAGGAAATATCTTGGTGGCTTGTAAATCTATTTTTAAAAAATATCTTCAAAGATATAGCTTGTCTGTGAAAGTCATAGTTTTAGGGGTTTTTTAAGTATTTTTAAAATTATTCCTCTTACACAGAACGGAGCCAGACCATACCACTACATGTAGAGATTAAAATAGCTACTATGGATACCTTGATAGTAATGATGTACTTCTGGTAACAGCTGATATCACTTAGAAATGTGACATGGTGGAATTATTTTGTTTGTAAACATGATTAATTTATATTTTCAATAACTGACTGGCTTTAAAGTTTTCTTTTTCAATTTGTTAGTGAGGTTAAAATTCATGTTATTAGGGTTTGTGCAATTTCAAAAATAAACATTTCTGAAGTTCATTCAGTTTTAGAAACAAGTTTTCCCTATGGTGGTTTCACCAACATTTAAAAAACAAACCCACACAAATATTTAATATGCAAACCCCTTTAAAATACTTTGACCAAATACCACCTGAGGTAATAAGCTTTTTTAAAAGCTTATGTATGTTTAAAAGCATCTAAAACTATAAACTCAGAGATATTAAAATTATCGCTTTGAAGGCTCTCCAATTCAGAAAAAATGTTAGCAACAAGGTCAGCTTTATCTGACCCTACCATAGAAAAGGTGGATCTCTGCAACATTTCCTAATGTCCACTAATTCTTGACTTTGGTAACTCAAAGTCCAAATAATGTTTTAAAAACAAGGTTCTCTCTGCAAAAACCCTCCTTCATTCTTTATGCCTTTAATATCAGACATTACATGGATCAAGTCCTCAGATTACTATGATTCTGTAACATCTACCAATACGTATTAAAATAGATAACTATTCTTAAAAATGATAGTTTAAACTTCCTGGGAAAAAGAGAATTTTGTGCCGACCCCACAAAATTCAATCTGTTATTAGCTAGTATCAATGAATACAGATAGCGAATGTGTGGAGCATCCTTTGCTTAAGCAGCACACCTTTCTCCTTAGTTCTTGCTTCAATTGGTGAAAAAGTCTATGAAGTTGCTTCATGTAGGGGTTAGTGTCCTGTTTACACCTGTAGACTGGGGCTCTGAACAGCACTGCTGTGAACAAGAATTACTGGGGACACCCAGTTTGTTAGATGGAATGAAGGTACGGTGCTGTTTGTAGACTGTCCAGTGTCACCTGGTACTAATTTTTGAAACATGTAAAATAGCTGTTATCTGTGTTATTAGGTAGGTGGATATATTCAGGAATAACAGACTTAATTTTGGTTCAGGAACATAAATTCTCCTTTCATTAAATGATGTCGTAGTTGGAACTACTATGCAACTATCCATTTTTCCTCCAGCTATACAATTATTGACTCCACATAGGTATCAATAGAGTGTTCTTGGTTGCATTTCTCAAGGAAAATAAATATGTTAATATAAGAAAAATACGTTGTAAGAAAAATTAGGTCGGCTCTTTGTCACAATTAACATTCTCTGAAGGAATTCCTATTCTTCATGAGAAACCTACTTCGTTGGGGAAAATCTCTCTAGAAATCTTAGAATACTACTCTCTCTTATACATTATGTTTCCTTGCAGCTGGTTTTCTACACATAATCTTTTTTCATGATTAACATACCTTATGTTAGCTTGCATATTCTCCCTATATCGAAATCTCCTTGTCAGCATAGAATTTCCGTAACTCAAAGTTTTTGTGGGCAACTGATAAAGAAATAATTATAATAGCAGCTCTTTTAATAGATCTTTCCCTCTCACGAGGTTTGAGACAAGATGATTGGGATGAAGCGACTGGGAAAGTATCATCCAAATTTTTGATTTGTTGATTAGACTCAAGTGGGATCAGTGCAGGAAGATCTGGCATTAGAATTTCTACCTTAAAACTTTTCTAAGGCAAATATGTGTTTAATGGGTCAAATATTCACTTTAGGAGAGAGAGGACTAGATTTAGACACTAGATTTATTCCTCTCATGAAATGTAGTAGCTTTGTTTGCTATATAGTGGATTTTTACAGCAAATAAGCACTTCTAAGCTTGCAGGATTTCTGAAGTTTCTGTGTTAAGGTTACAGAGCTTGTAATTTCTTTGATCTTGTATTGGTCTGGAGTCCTTGAAAGCAGCAAGAGCAAGAAGCAAAGACTTAACTGGCTGTGAAGTTTATAAGCGCTTTTGCCAATATTTGCAGACATTGTAAGCTCCATCGACAGGGCTTAGAGACTTTGTAAATGTGGTAAGTCTGACTTTCACAAAGAACGTAGGATGTCAAATAGCCATTATGATATCCTTGTACTCAAAACCTGGAAACTAAGTTTAATGTAGGTCTCTGTATAAATTACATTATAGACCAATCTGTAAAATCAGTTTGACGTACTGAATCAAGGCTCTTAGTTACTGGTGAACAGAGGAAATTGATGTATTTTACGTTCCATAACTGATAAAGGGCCTGATGGATTAACTACCAATTTTCTTTTAAAACTTTCCATCTACTTAATAGTTATGTGTGAAATTTCAGGTTGAGGATAACCTTCTTTCTAGCCAAAAATATTAGACAGCTCACAAGAGAGAAAAATTGCATTTAAAATAGAATTGTAATCATAATACTTTGTCATGGATACTTCAGGAAGAGAGGTTAGGAATGTGGTTTGGCTAGGCCATCTTATGAACGAAGACTTCTGGTCAGAATTAATTGAGGCAGATCTCATCCTTTGTAATCTGTACCATTTGATGGAGGGTGCTTAATCCTGCCTCTGTCCAAAATTTCAACGTGGTTCCAACACCCATTTACAATCCTTTACTTACCTGAGAATTGAGATACTGGGGAAAATGGAGGGGGCACTTACTGTATCAGGCATGGAAAATTCTACCACTACCATTTCCTAGAAAAGTCCAAATAATGCTGACAGGAGTACAACTTATGTTAAATTCACCCTGGACATTTGTTATTGCAATTTGTTCTTAATGAGTGATTTCCAGATTTATTCCTCTCATCTTCACATGTCAAAAATGTATTCAGTTGGATAATGAAGACTATCTTTAAAGAAAGCTTTTAGAACTTTTCTCTAATCCTGTGTTCAAATCCAGTTTATCAAAGAATCTGATCCTTTGTTGAAGATTCACTGGGCATTTGCTAAATTGTTACAATATCAATTTGCAACCTACTCTCCAAATGGATCCCTCGCTTGCTGAGTGAAAGGTCTCAATATTCCAGGCAATCTGGAGGGAGAAAAAGTAATCCTTTTGGGCTATCAAAAGGTGGTGATGATGGCCAAGGCCCTGGCTCCCAAATATTGTCTGATTCTGCTCTCAGCATGCATCATGGAAGCTGATGTGGAGAACGCAGCAAATGGGAACGGTTGGGGAGAACATAATGAATACGAGCTGGATTCAGAAGGAGACCCTCAGTTCCTCTCACATAATATATTCGACTCTTGCACTCTTCTTACTAGGCAGTTAGACACTTTGCTTTCATATTCATGTCAACACAGAGACATTTTTTCTCAGCAAATGTTTATGTAGCATATTAGCAGATTAGAATTGTAGATTATTGAAGGAAATGGGTACTTTCTAAAGAAATTTAGAGACAGCTCCCATCAGTTTTTCTCTAAGCTGAAATGGAAACGGTTCAGGCAAGTTCAAAATAATTTTAGAGGCTAAATTTCATTTATACATATATAAGTATAAATATAAGCATATATAACACTTATGCGTATGTATGTATATTTGATTTTATAATCAATCATTATTTACACTTTTAATATGTGATCTTCTCTTTGAAGAGAAATTGCTACGATATTTCATGCTTTTTAAGCTGTATTTCAGGCAGGATCTTTATTAAAAAATGCTCTTCATTTAAAGTTTGTTCTAGCATACCCTCCATGAAGTAAAGTCAGAGATACGGAGATAAGAGGTTTTGAGTGAGAAGGGTTTTATTAATATGAATCAAAGGCTGAGAGAGTATTCAGGAAGACAGATCACTGTAATAGCTGATACTACTGGTTTACCAACGGGACCTCATATTCTGAGTGCCATCAGCATGAAAATGGCATAGAGTTGTAAGAAGTCACATTGTGTTGCTTTAGATGAATACTGGCACAGCACATTGAATGACTGTAGTTCACGTCTGTGGATCTGACGTCTACATTATTTTCTTAAACATTTTGCAGGCACCTCTGTGGTTCAAGTGACAGCCACTGATGCGGATGATCCTACCTATGGCAACAGTGCCCGAGTGGTTTACAGCATTCTTCAAGGACAACCGTACTTTTCTGTGGAGCCAAAGACAGGTAACTTTCCGTAAAATCTCGCTACAGCAATGCTGAGAAAATGTACATCAGAATTTACTAGGAGCTTACACACTTATTAATGTGATCTCTCGGTTAATTGAATACATTTGGATTTTGTTGATCTTTTACTCTTTCCTTCCTAAGAATAGATTATGAAAATCATATATTTGAACCATACGATAAGTTGACATTGTTGGAATTTGTGTTTTTCTTTCCTTGTGATTCTAGCAGTTTCTTTCCTTGTGATTCTAGCAGTTTCTGGTCTGCCGCATGCTGCAGTCTTTCCGATCAATGAAAATTTCAAGATGCTGTGAAAACGTTTTTTGCAGATACTTGCTTGGGAAATGTCTAAATGTCACACACACAGAGTTCCTGGAGTATAGCTTTTATGGCACGACCACCTCTCCATTCTACTTTTAAACTGAAGTTTTGCTGTGGGAAATGTACCTTTTCCTCATCAGTTTGAACAAAAAAGGATTATGCTTCCATGTGACGTACCCCTTTTCAGCCATTTTAAAAACAAATTAGTTATGGGGCATTTTTTATTATGTTTCATGAAATTTTGTGAATAATTTCAGCCACAACACGATGCAACCCTTAATCCTCTGTTGTTTTGATAAACGAGATTCATTTTACTGTGTCGTTTCATAGAGCGGGAAAAGAAGTTCTTGACCTGCTTAGTTCGGTTTGGTATTTGAGCCTACTGTTATGTCAACATAGGGAAGAGTTATAACCTCTCTTTCAGAGATGGACAAACTGGGGTAAAGCGGAAACAAACAATTACCCCAGAATATAAGAAGAAGCCTATGATGGGAATCAGACCTCAAACCCACTGCTGCACCTTAATCAAAAGGTCACACTCTGTTTAACAACACCTAAATTTGCAGAAATAAGTAATATAAATATTTGCATATTGCAACAGGTCCATCCTCAGCAGGGATGTATACCACTTTATTTTTTTTTTCTCAATTGATAAGATTTATAGCATTTTTCTCTCTGTTTCTGTATCTCCCTCTCCATATATATGTATGTTCAACATATATTGTCCCAATGACTGCAGACAGCCCCTGAGCGATAATATGGTAGTTCCTGCTAAATTAAAATCCTTAAGGACTGAGGCTGAAATGTTTGCATACATTTTCATTTTGATATGATGCTCAAATTTCCTGTGTGCATAATAATTAGCTTCCAAATGATTGGTTGGCATTGCCTGGCAATTTAACTGTGACAGAAAAATAAGCAGGCCATAAAAAGCAATGTAGAAACAACTAAGTTGTGAAATTCTATATTAATTGTATTTTTTAACCTGTCAAGTAAAAAGGGTGAAATAGTGCCAGACAGACAGTCTGTTTGTGAAGTAAATGTTTCAGCCCAGAGATGATTAATAGTAAGTCCTGCATTCCTAAGAGAAGAAAGAAATAAAACTGTAACTAAACATTCAACAAATATCAGATGAAGAGATATGCCCCATTGTGCCTCTCCTTTATTTAGATTGTTTATGTTTCCTTTGTTGCTGACACTAAATGCTGGTGGAGTAAACGGCTGCCTCTCTGGAAATCAGAGTTAGCGGCTGTGCTGTGTACCAAGCATGAAATATTCATAAAGCCATCATGTTTTGAGAAGGAATATTTATTTTCTGATATACATCAATGGAACTGAATGGATGAAACATAGAGCTTCTTCTGGTTTTCTTTTCAAACCAAATAATTACAAACTGGTAAACTGGTGTGCAGGTCATCAAATAGATATAAAAAAATATTATTTCAGATACGACAGCATTTCATTTAATACATTAAGATCTCTAATTACATTGAACACTTTAGAAGTAGATATTGTTTAAGCAAATATTAGGTAAAATAAGATAATTTCATATATATGTAAAGTACAGCATGATGTTAATATTAGTAAGAAATAATGACTATTTAAAACATTGTGAGGTGAATCTTGAACATGGAATCTTACAAATGAATGCATAATATTCTATTCTCCCTAGCTCTAAAAAAGAGGACATTTTCCAGAAAAGGGATGATTACCAGTGGCGTCATGAAGAAGGGAAAAGATGCTCAGATAATACAGTCATGAATGCTGTTACCCAAAGATAGATAGATGTAATACTAAAAAAAAAATAATTAAAAAAATGAATACTTAAAATAAGCTTGTAGTGTCAGCTCGGTTCCTAGTCAAAAATTGCAATTATATTTTTCCTTTTTAGGCACAGTAACTCATTGATCTATTACCTTTGAAGGTAAAGTCATCTTTCACAGTAATGTGTTTACTTGTGCAACCATTCATTTTCCTTGCCTTACTACAGGTATTATCAAGACTGCCCTTCCCAATATGGATAGAGAAGCCAAGGATCAATACCTACTTGTTATCCAAGCAAAGGACATGGTTGGGCAAAATGGTGGATTATCAGGGACTACATCTGTAACTGTCACCCTGACTGATGTTAATGACAACCCACCCCGCTTTCCACGTCGTAAGTTATTTGTAAAAAGTGAACTGTAGTGCTGTTCAGAAACAATTGTTCTTATTTTCTGCACACACCGTGTATTTCTAAATAGAGGCTAAAAGTACTCAGCTTCCTTGTTAAGTACTTTGAGAACCATGGAAAGCAAGGTATTATATTATGTTTTTATTGTTACATTGGAAGAATCTTTTTTATTACCTAAAAAGTTTCAGATCAATTGAAAAGAAGTGATGCACAACAAATACATTTATTAATGTTATTTGTTCTTCTCTGTGAATAAAAAGACAAAAAAGTATATAACTTTAGTTCTTGCATCTTGGACTTCAAGATGCACAGTTTCTTTACTTCCCTGTGTATGCATCATGCTCTTTTGGCAATTTAGCAGAATTTTTCCTGTGCTCACCACGTTTCCTAAGAAATTAATTACAGAAGAATTGGAAAGTCATCTACCCTCGATCTACTTTCTTTAACCAAGGTGGCTTTTGCCTTAACCAGGGAAAGGAGAGCACGATTGTGCTCTTGGGTTTGAGGAAACTAGTTTATAAATAGCACTCTGTCTGATGTACTTTTTTTTTTTTTTTACCTTTTTTTTTAAACTCTTATGATCTTAAAAAGTCCTTGCTAAGCATAATTAGAATAATGTGAAGAGTATATTAACATCCTCTCCAACCTCACCTCGAATGGCATAAAAAAAATCTATAAAAAAGAGATTTCCTGCTACCAATTGCTTAAAATAATAATAGATGATGTAAAGGTATTTTTGAAGGTGAGGATGTTATTGGCTATAAGCTGCACTCAGATATCTTTCTGAGAGCATATACATCATTTTTTACTTGAATGAAAAAGTGGGAATTTTCAAGAATGCAGATGGCACACTTATTATTAAAGAAATGAATATATCTCAATTTGTGGTCATATTCAGATTAGAAACTACCTAATCAAGATACAAAGTTACAAAATAATAAGACATCGATTTGATTTTGCATATTTTCTTTTTTTTCCTCTCTCTTTTGCGGAAAACGAAAAAGGAAAATATTTTCTACCTTGGAAAGTTGTAAAATGCATTTACCTCTTTATTTACGTGTCAATTTGGAAATATATTTTTGCATTCTTGTCTTATACTTCTAATAGAAGAGATGATGCCTATAGTACTGAAAGTAGATGCATCATAAGGAATATCCAGCAGAAGAAGGGCAATTGTTCTATTTTAAACTGAAAAATGTTTTATGGTAGCCTGAGCAAATATATCAAGTTAGTAAAGGAAGGTAGATGTTTCCTTAGCCCACAGCTCCAGAAGACTCTGTATTCAATAAGTATTTTAAATTTCACAGGATCATATCAGTATAATGTTCCAGAGTCTTTGCCTGTGGCTTCTGTGGTGGCCAGAATAAAAGCTGCAGATGCAGATGTGGGACCCAATGCTGAAATGGAGTATAAGATTGTGGATGGTGATGGTTTGGGAGTATTCAAAATTTCCGTAGACAAAGACACCCAAGAAGGCATCATTACAATTCAGAAGGTAAGTCTGATTTTCTGACTGATTCTGTTTGAGCCTAAGCAAGATGAGGGCAGGTAATATGAGGAAGAGCTTTCACATTCAAGAGCCTCGACTGCTGTAAAAGTTTCCATCACTATATTTCACCTTGATTTCAGTGTGTCTGTGTGCGTGTGCCGTTCAGAAATTTGTAATGCCATATACTGAAATTTCTTATTAATTTTTTGGCAATAGTTTTATATATGTATGTATATATGTATGTATGTATATTTGTAAAGTACCAGCGTGTATAAACTTGGATGGGAATGTCAATATTTATTTGTCATTTTTCATTTGCCATGTGTCATTCTGTTAAAGAGAAAATGTGAAAATATATCTTGCAGAAAAAAAAAAGAAAGTTCCAAATCCAAAATGTAACCTAAATATACTTTACAAAAATCTAGTTGTTTTTTTGATCTTGTTCTATTCAGGAGGCACACATCATTGCTATTACAATTATGTATTAATAAGAATAGCTATTTCACAAGCTAATCTGTTATCAGCAAATGCTATTATAAAAAAAAGAAATACTTAAATAAATATTTTTACTCTTAACTTTCTATATGTCCACAATGAGAATTATCAACTTTTTAAAATTGAAAAATCATGTTTATATAAAAATATTAAAACTCAGCATTCTTACTTTGATGCAACACTTTGCAAAGAGTATCCTTTTCCAAATAAACTATGTACTGAAACATTTTGGCAGAAAATTTCAGTTTGGAGGAGAACAGGAGAAAAAAATAAAACTTAGAGGAACCTTCTGCGATAAAAATTTCATACTCTTAATTTGTGAATGTTTAGCACTGGCGACACTGAAACTATGGCTCTAAAACTGATAAGCAATTTAACGCACTCTGAATTGTGGGACTGACTTGTTACTTTAGAATATCTGTAAGAGTTTCGCTGAACGAGGACGTATGTTTGTAGTTAATTTGATTCCATAGGTGACTTTTTCTTTTTTCTTGCCTACATACTCTTTAATCTTTGTAAATCTCACCTATCCATTTTTGCTTATCTTTTTTCCTCTGATTCATGAATTCCTTTCCAAAGCAATATAAAGCTTCAAGAACACTTCTGCTTTGAAAGAAGTTAGTACTGCATAGTGTTGCAAAGTAGCAGCCTAATTCTCTGATATCCTGAATAACTACTACTGAGAGCTGGTAAACACTCACTGATGTCAGAGCAAATGGAGGAAGTTCATCAACCCTAAAAGATCATGCTTTAATTCTTGTAGTATAAATCATCTTTTTACAGGCAAAAGGCAAAAGCATCCATCTTAGGCTCTGGGCATACTGTGCTAATTTCTACTTAGCACATTTAAAATATAAGTGATGAAAATTTAGCCAGCTCTTTGTCCAACAGTCACATTCAATGTGGCTCCGTCAGCTTGCTCATTTAATGTTTCTGAGCACAGATCTGAAAGAATTATGCATATTCTAGAAGGAAAATATTTGTCAGTGTCACAGTTAGCAGTACTGAATCAGTTGAGGAGCTCTGATGATCTAAGTTGGGAACTGCTGAATACTTTAATTTTAATATGCTCTCATAAGCATTGTGTTTGTGCCTAGAATCTCCTGATTTCAGCATAGTGCTATACTCACTTTAGTTATGGAGCTGAGCTGAACTTTAGCGCTGAACATTTATCCTAAGAAGTGCTCTATGAAATGGCTAATGGACCACACTAAAGAGATTACCAAATTCTGACCCACTGTAATCCTTCAGTTTGCTAATCATTTTTAAACTTAATGAATACTGAAATGTTTTAACAAAAGAATTCAGACTGTTTTCTGCAGCGTTTCAAAATCTCCCTCATCAGCCTACTATTATTGACTTCATTCCCCCTTCCTCCTTCAAGAGTATCTCACCCTGTTGAGGGGCACCTCCCAAACCGCTGGATGACATTTGCTCTTCCTTTGAATTCCAGGGAACTCGCTGCCTTTTTCATACTGGAAAGCTCCTCCCACTAACCCCGCAGGCAAAAATAGTAGAGGACATTTATTGGGAGGGAAGAAAGAAAGTGAAGAGCTGCACTAGCTACCAGGGCATTGCTGCTTTCTAGTTGTTCTTCTCTAGAGGGTACATAGAAGTCCTTTAGTGAAAGTGTACGCAGGCTGAATGGGCTTCAAACACTGAGCCTAACCTGCCAAATCACTGTGGAGTGAGCCAGAGGTTGTTACTGCATAATAATGTGTGCTTATTAATAAGGAATGAAGGAAGAAATTAAGCCCGTAGCTTGGAATCTGCCTAATCTCAGCATTTCACAATCCAGCACATGAAGCACTGTACACCTCTGAGTGCAATTAGCTGTCTTCTTTTCATGCCCCTGAAATCAGATGAGACATTGAGAAACAACTCAGCCTCCAAATGCGTGCCCATCATTTTAAACTCGCGTGTATTTGTATACTCAGATGATATGTCTGCACACACATCAAGCAGTAAAATGTCATGGTGAAGAGTTTTGAAAAGGCACACTTGGGTTCTAAATGCAAATGCATGCTTCAGTTTTGCATACTTTTGCTGCAATCACACATATAAATCAGTATCTCTAAACAGCTGATGGCTCTGTTCCACTCACTTTTATACTGGGCATTATGTAGAAAGTTTGGCACCTGGTTATCAGATTTCCACACACAAACTGCAGATTTTTATTCTATATTTAGAAGGACGCGCATTCTGAGACAATCTGAAAAGTTAAATGAAAAGTCCCTAAACAAAAACTAAGGCTTTACTTTAACACAAACCATATTCAGATGCTTATAAAGAAACATCAAGTACAAGAACAAATAAATTTATTAAAAAAAATCAACATTTTGGAGAGAAGTGAGGTTTAAGAATGTAGTGAGTAAAGCAGGATTTGTGTACACTCCAAGTGGATGGAATAGGAAAGAAAATGCCCAAGGATCAGGAGAAGATTGCAAATAATGCATTGAAATATAACGTACTCAAACAGAAACTGAACACGTTTGAAAAAGTGAGGTACCAAGGATATTGATATTGGAATGAGGAAAATGCTATATGGTTAGATATTTCCCAAGTTTACTTATATGTAACGGACTTGTTTAATATATGTATTGACTTGGAATCTGCTAAGGCTGATGAATAAGATTTGAGTGTGTTTCTTTCCTTTTTTCTTCATGTGCGTTTAAACACATTTCTTCTCTGTACCACAGGGACACGGAGACTTCAAAACATCAAAAGTCAGCAGAAAAAAAAAAGTATCATGCTTTTACTCTAACAGTGATAAATATATTATTCATCAAAAAATAAAGCATATTCTGCCTTCATTTACACCTTTTCTGCATTGCTAAGTCCAGAATTCTTTTTAGCTTGCTCAGCTTATTCTGGATTTTTTTCCTATAAACAGTTGGAGAACAGTGCTATTTTCCAAGTAGCAGTATACACGCTGTATCAGTGTGCATCATTTGATGCTGGATGATTTTTTGTCATAAAGCTGCAAATATTGTGATATTTTTATATTACATGTGGTATTTGTGATACCTTATTCCCCTCCTTCCTGGCCAGTATGTTTTATCAAGTGGATGACCGAAGATCTTGATATTTAAATGAGACGTGAAGTTCATGTCATCCAGAAAGTTGCTCAAGTTTATTCAAGAAAAAAATAAAATTGTTTGAAGGAATTCTTTGAGACAAGGACAAACTTTTCTTCATGGTTTTATGGATTAAGCAATAACAAAAGGTTAAATCTAGGCATATTTTTTTTTGTAAAGAGCAATGAGGTTAGAATTTCTTCTTATGACAGGATCTAGTAGTAACATCTCTTTTACATAGTTATTGGCACTAAAAAATAAAGTCTACCTTTTTCTGCAATATATTAACTGAATTCATATGCAAGCAACTTATCCTGTGTGTATCTAGGAATGCATAGAACAGTGCATTAATTACTTGTTCTTAAGATGCCATACTGCGTTTCCAATCTACAGTAGGAGATTAAAAATTGCGGAAAGAAAAAGTTTACTTTCCAGAAGCTAGTATAAAAAAATAATGGATGGGACCCATAGGCGAGATGGTTTAGAGAAGTAATCTCAGACTCCAGACAGAGTAGGAAAGTGAAGGGAATGCTAGTAGCAGTTTATCCCTTTAATTTGCCACGTTCATACAAGCTGTCCTCCAGCAGTTTCAAGTTACTTTGCAATCTTTTCCATTTCTTTTCTTTCCTCCATTAAATAATAAACAAACAAAGAAACAAGCGAGCTAGCTCTGGCTTGTCAAATGGAAAAGAAGAAAGCCCTTCCTTTACTTTTATTCTGAATAGAGCCATCTAAAGATATCACCTACAAATTCCATGCTCGAGTTCTGATATTGCAAATAATACGGGAGTTTCAGTCTAAACTCAAATCATTTCTTCCTGTTCACCCTCCCATATACACACACTAGGTTTAGTGACTACCTAAATAGACCTCAGCTAGGTACTTAAATTACTTGCTTTTAAGTAAAATATAGGAAAATATCCATCTTCAGGTGATCTTTTTAGAAAAAAATGTCTTATACAGCTTTTGAAATTAAACTGGCCATTTATATTTCTTAGGCATATTTGAAAAGTTTATCCTGGTTCACATTGCTACTCAGTTCTCCTTTTGTAGAATAGGAGCAATTCCTTCCTGTGGTTTAATTTATAATTTACATTCTGCAATCAGTACTCTGTTAGTAAGAATTCAGATCATTTGCACGTAAGCAGTAGCTGCGTTATACATTGGTGAGGGTGTTTGGAAGAGAAGCAGAATATTTCTGCAGATATAGTTGTTAAAATGTATTAGATTTATCTTTGCAGTAGTAGACTGAGAATTGAAGAAAACTTTATGGAACTGAATGATGACTCAATCACTTACTAGAAAAATTTTGAAAGTATTTGTGCAAACCTATGTGTCTACAACTTCAAAATGAATTCCTGTCACAGAATCCTGATTACAATACATATGACTGGAATTTTGGCTTCCATTTCTGTGCAAATGCATGCACAGACC